GTACAGCCAGCTGGTGTGCCTCAGTGGCTGAGGGTCGACCTACAAAGCAAATCAGATTCTATTCCTGATCTGGGCACATGCCCAGGTTGCGGGCTCGATCCCCAATGTGGGGTTTATAGGAGGCAACTGATCAATGATTCTCTCTCATTGATATTTCTTCCTCCATATCCTGTCCTCTCTGAAATCAATAAAACAAATATATGTATATTTTAAAAGGATAGTAATGAGATCAAGGGAAGACTGAAAGAACAAAACCTGGAAAGTAGTTCCAAAACCACTTCCCTTATAGTTCAGCTTTCTAGACCTTCTGTTCTTATTGTGTCTCTAGGGTACCCTCCCAACGGGTCCAGCCACCCACTTTCCATGGTTCCATAAACTGCTTCCCCTTTCCCTGCTGAGGTGAGGAAGTCTGCCAAAGGTAAAACACCGATGTAATGCAAGTTACATAGTAATACATATCCCATCCTGTGTTCTCAGTCCACATATAAAATGATTTCTCTTTAAATTCTATTTAACATGTCACTAAAACATATTAATTGAAAGCTTGCTTAATAAATCCTCAAAGCAGGATTAAAAGATCCATTTATCCTATTTATTACGCCTATTGTTATAGATTTTGATATCATGCTGCCTCTGTATTTTGAAGTCATAACTGAAACAAACACACTTAGTCTCACTAGAGCAAATTCTAGGAGAAAAAGGCTGTTTTGTATCGATTACAGAGCATTCCACGAAGTCCATAAGAATCCTAATTTCTGATGTAGAAAAATTCCAAACAGCTGACATTTATGTTATAATCAGGTAAGTGAAGATATACCAGCCTGGCCTATGTGGCTCAGTGGTTGAGCCTCAATCTATGAACTAAGAGGTCAAGGTTCAATCATTTGCCCAGATTGTAGGCTTGATGCCCAGTAGAGGGTGTGCAGGAGGCAGTTGATCAATGAATCATTGATGTTTCCATCTCTCTTCCCCTCTCCCTTCCTATCTGAAATCAATTTATATATATTTAAACTAAAACCTCTTTACACACATTAAAAGAAATTAAGGCATTAGCGGGTTTGGCTCAGTGGATAGAATGTCAGCCTGCAGAATGAAGGGAGGGTCCGAGTTCGATTAGGGTAAAGGGCACATGCCTGGGTTTCGGGCTCAATCCTCAGTAGGGGGCACGCACAAGGCAGCCGATGAGTGAGTCTCATCATTGAAGTTTCTGCTCCCTTCCTCTCTCAAATCAATAAAACTATTTTTTTTAAATTATGTCTCTCACCTTAAAAGGTACCCTGGGGGCAGCATACTTACTTTTAGACAGTACCAAGAATGCCTTTATATTATCTCTATATTAGGTACTTTTTATAAATGAATAATTTGAGGGGTAAAAAGTATTTCCATTATTTTTAAAAGGTACTAGTACGTACAGGACCCAAAGAAGTCTCTAAATGAGACCACTTAATTCTATGTGTAACTATCAACATTTATTGGGTCAACAATTAAATATTCTGTGAAAGTAGTAAAACCCACAGCACAATGTCTATAGGATATCAGGACAGACATAGCAATAAATCTGCTTGATGTGAATATGGCTATTTTCACATATCTCACTGGAAAGAGACAAAAATGCTTAAATCCCCAAGACGGTAAAAAAATGTCAATTTAATTGGTGGTAAGTACTAATTAGCTGCAACTAAATGTTAGTTTTCTTCCTTCCAGTTCAGAAATATACCTTTAATAATTTTCTTCATTAACTAAGATCCATATGCCTTAATCCACTAAGAGGCTTGCTGTAACCCAAATGTATATCTTTTTATCAGGGTATAAGTTTTTTTTTTGTGTGTGTGTGTGTGTGTGTGTTTTTTTCTGATGTTACCATCACATTCAATATCATACATGGGAGATTATTATGATTTACAAAACCATGGTTATCAATAATGCACAAAATAGAAAAACAGATTTCCCTGCTGCGTACGAGAAACACTATGCTAAGCCCAGCATATGAATTTTACTGCTTCTAATTTTACTGTTTCCTTTGCACAGAAGCAGATGGTTGGAGCCAATTTTGGATTCTAAAACCCAGTCTCTAAGTGAGGCCTGTCATATCCGAAGAACCGAATTCTCCTTTCTACTACTAAAACGTGGTTTTGTTATATCTACCCATTATCATCCCTGCCCTTCAATGAACTGGGGTGGTTTACATACCACAGCCATTTTAAACCACAAAAATTTGTCCAGCCCCTCTAAGCTTCTACAAAAATACCCAACTTAAACCTGAAAATCCAGCTCAGTCATTCCAAAGCCAATGTAAAGTACTATGAAGCATAAAATATAAAGTTGAACCAAAATATCACATAAAATTTAATAATTGCAAATGTATTTATTACAATTTACAGATTAAATTATATACACAAATAGAATTTTACTATAAAATCCCAACAAACTGGTTACATGTTACTCATTGGATCTGTGGAAGCCAATTCGGAAGTCTTCTAGCCCCCTACATTCACCTTCATTAAATTATAAAAAAATAAAATCTGACAGTTTTGATTTCAAGTTAAAGATGAAAGGTGCTGTTATTACACTCAAAAAGGGAAATTTTACCTGTCTGTACAAAGCCTTTCACACGCTACATTGATACTTGAAGCACCACTGCAAGACTTTAAATGCAATGTTCGATTAAAATTTCCAAGGACTTTTGTTTTTAGATGGTGGTCTAACTTTGTTCCAACTAGGATTGGAATGAAACCAACAAGAATCGTTCTCCTCCTTCAATCCAACTTAAACACCCTTCTCAACACCCTCTGGTCACTTCTTTCCAAGGAGTGAAAGGGAGACTTGTTAACCAAGCTGTTACCCATTTGGCAGTGAGGTTGAGGTTGGAATTCCAAGAGAACCATTTCCCGCAACCCAGTTCATGTAAACTATCCTTCTTTCCAAATCGGCAGAGGTGCTAGATTTCAGAAACACAAAACACAACTTAAATCTGACATAAAGCTGTATACTTCATCCCGGTTTTAAAGAATGCATATGCATTCTCAACAAGCTTTTTTTCAAGACAAGTAACGCCCTCTTTCACCTGACACAGCTGGTGCCTGGAGCCAACCTATTTCATGGTGCTAGGCAGTCCCTATGACTACCTAAAGCGGGAAGCACGGAACACCTTGACGAAGGGCTCTGCAAAAACCTGACCTTATGTTGCTGCACTCTCAATGTGTTTATGTGAATATATATTAACGCCAGCGGCAGTGCTTGGAGCAAACCAGATAGAAATAATGACCAGGTGGATTATTAACTGAGGTAGTAACCCTGGAGCACTTATAACGCAAAATCACCCCTACACTGAGACAAGTTCAAAGTGAAGAGGTCATCTATTCTACTCACGTGTTCCATGACGAGAGGCACGTAGAGTAAAAACTGACCATTTAAGCTCACCCTAACAGATGCACACCAGGTAGAGCTACCTAAATTAACCAAGCACAGCCAGTCACTGCAAAAGCTTGGATTCAAAAGCAAATTTGGGGCTACAGATATTAAGACTTCCTGGTTGTTAAATCTCTAGTTCTTTCCCTTTCCTGAAAGTATAGCCCCTGCTTCTCTCATTACTCCTTCTCTCCATTTTAAAATAGAACACGGTAAACTTGGGTACTGACTGAAGTCTCTATTTTACATTTCAAACTGGAAAATTCAGAACTGCCCATTCCCAAGTTTACAGCGTCACCATGACAGATTGTGAAAGTGACACAGTGCGAGGCCTGACCTGGATAATACTGCTTCTGTTGAGAGCATAGACAACAAAACCAAACTGCTCTGATGTCTCTTATCTTCTTCCTACAAGAATTCTATGCTTTTCATTTAAAATAATATAAATGCCCATGATGTAATTATTACTTTCTGGTCTCTTTTACAATTTCCATCTGTTAAAAGATACAAAGAACCAATTACCTAGAAATCACAGTAACATATACAGGACCCTCTCCAAAACACTTTGCACAGAAATTAAATGTATTAGATGTTAAAATTTGGCAGAAAGATGCAGCTTTCCTAAAGTAACAGATACACACATGTCCATTTTGTGGCAATCCTTAGAAATATCTTAGGTAGAACTTAACCTAGAAATGAAAACCTACCACATTTACAGCCCAAGTCATTCTTACAAAGAAAAAAAAAAACAGACACAGCTAATGTACCTTAAATTGGCAGCATACACAAGATTATTTTCTTAGCCTTAAGGTAGGAGAAAGGCCAAGTCACTGAAATGAGATAATACAGAGAAAACATAAAAGCCCATTAATTTCAGAACGCTGGGGGGAAAAGCGCTGGCCAGTGTGGCTCAGTTGGTCGGAGTGTCATCCCAAAAGGTGTTTAGTTCGATTCCCAGTCAGGGCACATCCCTAATACAGGTTGGGCGAGTCTCCCTCCCCACCCCCCCTTTCTCTTTCTCTCTCTGAAATCAATGGGGGGGAAATAAAATAAACTGGGCAGGTTTGGGTGAAGCGAGGGGGGGGGGGCAGGGGGGAAAAAGGACAACTGTAATACTTTCAACAATAAAGATAAACTGAAATAAAGAAGAAGAAAAAAAAGGAATGTTGGAGGGAAAAAGTAAAAAGAACCCAGTTTTTAGACAGATAAATTAAAATATAAAATGGACTTTGAACCCTATATTGTTTCCCAAGAAAATAAGTTTTGAAAGTGCAAAGTTACACCTTCAGAGGCTCCTTTTTCTCAAGAAGCAAACACCATCCAAAACCACATCTGACTGATTAAACAGGAAAAGATTAGAAATCACACCATCTCATCCTTCATTATCAGGGCTTGGCTTCACACCTAGACATTTCTGAGTAGGATATGTTGCAAAACAATATTAAAGAAGGCTGCTGGATCCAAGTTACATATCCTCTTAAAAAAAAAAAAAAAAAAAAAAAAAGGTCAAAGGACAGCTGCCAATTTTTGTTTTAAAAGAAACCTCTCAAGTAAGAGTTACTTAGTGTATGCTAGGGCTGGCAGCTATAATATTACATCATCTGAACATGGCTAGAAAGCATCAAGTCCCTTGAAGCATATGTTTCCTGGAGTCTATGAAACATTCTTTCTCTGTGCTCAAATGTCAAGCAATATCCAATAGCGTCTTCTGTTTCTTGAATTCGTTTCTGGAACCTGCATCCATCCCGTGCAAATTCTTCCCATGGTCCTTTGCGATCCTCATCACCACTTATATAATACTCAGTAACTTCTTCAAGGAAGGTTACCTATGAAGACAAAAACTAACTTTAATCACTCTCTAGGATCTTATAATCATCAATGAGGTAATTAACCTTTTATGCTACTAACTCTTTAAGAATATCAAATATCTTACAAGAATATTTGATCTCAACTATAAAACGAAGTAAAAAAAAAAGGGGGGGGGGTGCTTAGAAGGCATCTGAATAAAAAACAATGGGCAGCCCAAGCCGGTTTGGTTCAGTGGATAGAGTATCCGCCTGTGGACTGAAGGGTTCTTGATTCCACTCCAGGTCAGGGCGCATGCCTGGTTGCAGGCTTGATCCCCAGAAGCATGCAGGAGATCAATGATCTCATCATTAACATTTCTATCTCCCTCTCATTCTGCCTTCCTCTCAGAAATCAATAAAAATATATTTAAAAAAACAAACCAATCAGTACCTTGTTATCTACCCTACTCCCTTGTGATTTTGTTTTTTTGTTTTGTTTTGGTTTCTTAAATATATTTTATTGATTTTTTACAGAGAGGAAGGGAGAGAGATAGAGAGCTAGAAACATCAATGAAAGAGAAACAGCAATCAGCTGCCTCCTGCACACTCCCTACTGGGGATGTGCCCACAATCAAGGTACATGCCCTTGACCGGAATAGAACCTGGGACCCTTGAGTCCACAGGCCAACGCTTTATCTACTGAGCCAAACCGGTTAGGGCAACCCCCTTGTGATTTTTTGTTAATAAAATGAATCCAGATGGGGAATTGCTATTTTCCTCATGCTATTAATCTTTACTTATTAAATCCTTAGTGATATTCAGTTCTGTGAAACCCTTCTTCAAAAACAATAAATGCCTCCAAACAAAAGAATTCCCAAATACATCCCTGGAAGTCACTGCTATTATTTTAACACAAAAGCTTTAACAAAATCTTATTTCTATTCTTCCTTTTTTAAAAGAAATTTTACTTGTCAGTGCTTTCCAATTTTTGAATCATGAACATGTGGTGTTACTCTTAATATCACTTTTGTAATCAGAATACGGAAGAGGAATTTACTTAATAAGCAAAATGTAACTTTTCCAAAAACCGGGACCGTGACATGCGACACACTGATAAAAAGTGGGACTGTCCCGCCAAAAGCGGGATGTCTGGTCACCTTACCATAAAGAGATGTTCATTTTGTTATATTTTGCTTATTAAGTAAATTCCTCTTCTGTATTCTGATTACAAAAGTGATATTAAGAATAACACCACATGTTCATGATTCAAAAATTGGAAAGCACTGACAAGTAAAATTTCTTTTAAAAAAGGAAGAATAGAAATAAGGTCTTGTTAAAGTTTTTGTGTTAAAATAATAGCAGTGACTTCGGGACTGTTTTAAAACGTCATGGGACATGGGACAAATTGATAAAAATCGGGACTGTCCCGCCAAAAGCCAGACGTCTGGTCACCTTACTTTAAGGTTTTATATATATATATATATATATATATATATATATATATATATATATATATATATACACACACACACACATGCATGCCTAAGCGGGCATGGAAACATGGAACAGACTGATGAATCTCAGGGGGAATGGGGGAAGGGGGTATGATGGAAAGAGATTAACCAAAGATCTTACATGATCTTATATACTAGAAACCCGGTGCATGGATTCCTGGACTAGTGGCGTCCCTCGGCCTGGCCTGCAGGGATTGGATTGAAACCAGCAGTCCGACATCCCCTGAGGGGTCCAGGATTGTGAGAGGGCGAGAGGGCACAGGCAGGCCAGGCCGAGGGGCCCCACCAGTGAATGGGCCTCTAGTGATACTATAAAAGATTTTGTTACTAAGTTAAAAACCCTTCTTGTATTCCTTTTTAACATGCTATCACTATATACAGGGTGTCCCAAAAATTTGTATACACACTTTAACAGCTGCTAACTCATTTTTCACTCCTTTTCAGGTTCAACTGATTTGAAATAAAGGGTGAAACCCAACTAAGCTCTGAACAAAGAAAATTTATCCACTACACATTTTTATGGGGACACATAAGAGATAAAGCTTATGGTACAAAACCAGCAATAGTTGACAAACTGATACACACAAATACCAAACGAAATGATTCTTGATGTTTGTGATTCCATTGCTTCACGTTATGAGTAGTGGCTAGCCCAGAATGGTTCATCAGTTTGAAAACAGGCATTGACAAAAAAAGGTATTCATTTCTGTAAATGAACTGTATGTTAACACATTCTTTATAATCATTCAAAGTGTGTATATATTTTTGGGAACACCCTACATATAATACATAAAATTGTACATACTGTTATACACATAATCACATGTAATGAGTCACAGTCCCCATTAAACCCTATTTAATTTCCAATAAGTTTCTTTGTAAGATATCAAACCCCAAAAGTAAATAGGGACTTGCTTTTAAAGTATGCTCAATAGTTTCATCAGCTAACCCCACTGTGGCCTACTGCTTTCATTCCCTTTACATCAGGCCAATAAATGCCCCCGAGGACAATTAGGAAGTGTGGTATGTAAACCCTTACAGATATTGCATTCTAGTGTAACTTATTGTCACTAAGATAAATAATAGCAACATTTACATAGTGTTCACCATATACAGGCTCTTTTCAAAGCACTCTACAATTTTTATCTCATTTAATCCTCCCATCAACCCTATAGGATACTATTATACAGATAAGGAAACAAAATAGAAGTTAACTGACTTATTCAAATCACACAGCTTCTGTGTGGTATAAATAGGATTCAAACCCTAAGTCTGGCTCCACAATCTGCACCACGTTATGCATTTTAAACTCCTAGATCTAAGTAAGAGCTTCATTTTTAAGCACCGAGTACTACCGATATTCCCATATATCTAAAGAATGACAAGTAGGCAAAGGCTGTCAAATAATATAACCATATTTCAGGCATAATCTTTGATAAATGTTGCTTCTAGTTCAGTCAACTGTCTCAAACCTACTTGACTCATTCCATTTTTACTCAATGAGCATGCTCAAATGAGACATCCCTGAATAAGAGCTACCATTTAAAGGCAAGACAATGAATTGAGTTGTGTTTACTCATCTCGTTTGAATCATGCAATAACTCATACAGTATTATTATTATTCCCATAAGATAAATGAGTTACTCAAAGCCATGAGAGATCAAGTTACTTCCCAGGTTTGGCTGTATTCCCAAATCTCTTGGCCCTAACCACTCAGAAGTAGGGATCACAGGTCTCCAGGTGGCAATGGTCATCCCATTGCCTGGCTATTTCTTACATAATTCACTAAGGGACCCCTTAAAAAGATAGAGAAAAGCTGTATTATGATGATACAGTAGTGTAAACTAAAATTTCCCCTTTTTAACATGGTTTACTTTGCATCTACAGGTAAGACATAAAATTATCACATCTTAAAGGTATTTTCTACCCCCAAATAGTTTCAAAGTATTAAACTAGACATTTAGAGCCGATGGGTGAGGGTACTCTCCACTGGAAACTCCCAGATGCTGCAGAATATGAGGTCAATAATTCATCCACTTCTTCCTCTGTCCAAATAAAGGTACAGGTAACTGAAGAAACTTGCCCTCTACAATAAAAGATATCCTGTGTGTTTGGAGAGGATTTCTCTTCAATTAATAACTTTAGCTGAAAGATAAAATGCTCCATAACGTTTTATAACTAGACTGGGAATAGGAAGCAACTACTTAAGGTAAACCACATAAATGACCATCATTGCTTTACATAATTATTAACCTGTAGTTAGCTAATGATAACTAGTATTGCATTCTTAAAGGCAACACTATTTCCAGTGTGTTTTTTTTAACAGAATTAAAATTAAGTACATGTCATAATTTTGAATACTAAAATTATTTCCTTTCATGGCAAAAAAACAAAACAAAAACAGAGTTAATCTGACTTGCTCCTTGGTCCCATCATCCCTCCGGGTTCGAATGGAAAGGAATGAAGACAGTCTAACACACCACATTTAACAACATTTTAAATTCTGTGGCTATTCTAGGGCCTTCCCAATCTCTGGGGAAATTAAATCATGTATACACACGATTTAACCTTCCAGTTCCTTAAAAAGAGTGAGAAGTTGAAGCCTGTAGTGATATGGCTCCGAGTTGCCAATGAAAAGGGCACTTTCTTGCTAACATCTGTCCACTGGCATCTCCTATTTGGACAGAACAGCATTCTACCCTTCAAGCAAAAGCATTGTACTACCATCCCTCCAGGAAAGTCAGGCTGCTGCTGTATTTGACCATATCACAACCGTCCGTGCATATTATCAAACAAGTTAAAAGACACAAACCTTTTTTCTCTTGATATGCGTGTGTCCTCCAGAAAGAACCCCACCCGGTACCAAGTCCGGACACTCACTGTCTCGGCTCGCTACCAGTTGCACCTTACAGGAAAGCAAGGTGTGACACTCAGAAATGGTCACAATGGGCTCAGGTGGCCTCTCTGAGTCCTGAGAGCCTTTCCCGTTTTTCCCTGCTGTTTGAAAAGGAGCCTTAAAATTTAAAAGGTTGTAGGGGTCTTCCGAATTACAGAAAGAGTTCCACAGTCTGAGACTCTCTGCTTCATCTGCACTAGATTCCCAGTCATCTTCCGCCCCAGAATTAAGGTCCGGAGCCTCAGGAAGGCTTCCGGTCTGGAGAGAACTCCCCAGATCAGACTTGTCAGACAAACCTTTCTGGGGGTCAGAAGGGTCTTCGGGAGCAGCGGGGGCAGCAGTCTGAATGGCTGCTGTGAAGTTCTGGGGATTGTAAGGATCTACACTGTGGAAGGAGTTCCAGAGGTGCAGCCCTTCAGAGTCTTGCTCAAGGTCTGATTCAGAGAGTGAGCTGTCACTGTCAAAGCCATCGTCCTCATCCCAGTCCTCACCTTCTGAATCAGAGCTTGTTTCCAGGTCGCTGGATGCACCTCCCAGAATGTAATCGATCAGCTTGTTGCTGCAGGCCGGCCTGGCAGACACGGGAGGGTCGTCTTCTAGGTCTGAGAAGTCAACCTCACTGCTCTGGTCCTCCTCCTCGGGGTCCCTTTCCATGGGTGCCTCACAGGACAGGCGGCCCTCCGACGGCTCCAGAGGAACCTCTTCTTGAGTCAATTCTTTTTTTTCCTCCGTGGGCTCCGGGGCAGTTCCGGGAACGGCTCCAGCGGGAGGAACACAGGGTGCCGGGCTGCCTCCGCAGGGCTTGGGGTCCATCCGGAGCAGGCTGTGTTCCTCCTCCAGGCTGTGGTAGCCATGGTCTTGGTCGGGGGTGGGTAACGCCTGCCCCTTGCTAGGCTGCTGGAGGAATTCCAGCCGTTTCATGCGAACGTGGTGGATCTCGGGCAGGCCTTCTCTCGAGAGCGGTGGGCATCGCTGCCAGGGGGAGCGGGGGCCGTCTGCGTCCAGCGGCCGGGGGGCAGTGGGGTCCTCCTCCGGCAGACAGCTGCCCTCCGGGCTCAGCGTCCGGAAACCCACCAGCTCGCCACCGGCGAAGAAGTCCTGACAGCCGCTAAGTTCTACCGGGGACAGGCAGTCCAGATAAGAGGGGTTCAGCAAATAGGAGACGGCGCTGAAACTGCTTACGCGATGCGTGTTTTTCAGCCCGGAGGACGGATGGCCAAGGTCCTGGTCCGATAACAGCCGGGCCTGAAGGCTCTCCTGCAGCAGCTCCATCCTCCACAGCTGCTGCTCCAGGAGAGGGGCGCGGGCCTCGGGGTGCAGGGCTCTGCCCGTGGCTTTCAGATCGGAGGCCAGGCACTCCCACTGGATCCCCTCCTCCAGAAGGTCCAGAAGGTCGGCGGCCGAGTCGACCGGGGAGGGGCCCAGCCGGAGCGAACCCAGCGATTTCTGCCCCGCGGGGGCGGCCGGCTCCTCGCGGGCCCGCAGGGCGCTGTAGCCCGCGGCGAAGTCGAGCCACCTCGCCGGGACCATCCCGCCGAGCAGCTGGCTCCACACCAGCAGCCTCTGCAGCAGGCCAGGGAGCGGCGCGAAGAGCTGGGAGAGCAGCTTCATCCAGAAGCCAGGCCGAGCCTCCTCCGGCCGGGGCGAGGACACGGGTTTGGGGTCCCCGGGGTGCTCGGCGGCAGCGCCGGGGGGCGAGCGCCGAGGGAAGAAGCGCAGGCCCGCTCCCGGCTCCATCATCGCCTCCGCTCCTCCTGGCAGGGTGTCAGCGAGGCGCGCGGCCCGGCGGCTGGGTCGGACGGGATCCGGGGAGGCCTACACGGCCCCGACCTCGCCTGGTGGCGGAGTCGGCGTCCCAGACCGGTCCCCGGGGCAGCGGCCTCGGCCGCGGGCAGCAGACGGCAGTCCGGAGAGGCCGGCGCAGATGGCGGCGGCGGCGGCGGCTGCGGCACCCATCCCGGCGGCGGGAAGGAGGCGTCCTAGTCCGCTCGAGGCACCATGCAGAGGCCTCTCGCGGCGGCGGCACGACTTTCCACGCCTCGCAGCGAGTCCCCGGAAGGGTCCAGCAGACGGTGGCAGGGACGAAGCCGGTTCAAAATGGCCGCAGGGCCAGCGTCCAGGCGGGACAGCCTAGGCCACCCGGCGGCGGGAACGTGCTGCGGCCGAGACGCCGACCCCTCGCCTCGTAACGTCACTCGCAGAGCCCCAGGGGGCGGGCCCTTCCGCCTTCTTCCCGGCGGCGCTGATTGGCCAGGCGCGGGTCCCTGTCGGCTTCCTTACTCTCAGGACCCGGCTGCTCGCGCGGAGGTTGCATCAGCCTGGCCCGGGCTCTGCGCGTGCGCACTCGTTTCCTCTGGCGCAAGGGAGCGTTTCCAAATCACCCGCCGGTTCCCCAGGGCCCTTTTAAGGTCCTAATGCAGGCGCACGGGTGCACACCTGCCCTGGACCTGCCTATATCGGGGTTCAGTGTTGTTCAGTACTAACTACTGACTAGATCATCACCTGAGAGCTGAGTTTAATAAGAGTTGGGCGATGCTGTGTCCATGCATCTCTAACAGTGTTTAAGACACGAATAACCTAGATTGAATAACAGGAGTGGAAAAATTGCAAGTGTATCATTCTCAGGGATGCATTCCTGCCCCTCAATGTTAGTGTTTCTAAAGCATTCGTTAGCTTTGCCTGATTTAAGGTTTGAATCCAAATTTAAGGTTGCTCAGCGTCCCACCTATATACTTTCCCCCACGAAAATGTGAATTTTTTTTTTTTCCCCTCAAGTAGGTTCTCAGTAGACTTGCCCTTTTCAAAGGGGGCAAACTGAAGTCACAGAGGAGGAAAAAAACACCCTTGGAACGAACAGTTTATCTCTTTTTAAAAAATATATATATTTTATTGATTTTTTTTTTTACAGAGAGGAGGGAGAGAGATAATTAGAAACATTGATGAGAGTCATTGGTCAGCTGCCTCTTGCACGCCCCCCACTGGGGATGTGCCCGCAACCAAGGTACATGCCCTTGACTGGAATCAAACCCGGGACCTTTCAGTCCGCAGGCCAACGCTCTATCCACTGAGCCAAACCGGTTTTGGCAGAAAATACTAATTTTGGAATTGGGGGCCAGGTGGAAGGAAGCCCAAGAGAGGACTCAGTTTTTTCCTTGCCTTGCAATCCCTTGTATTTAGGTTTGGGATCCACCCATAGCCCTCAGGCAGGCAAGGTTTGGGATCCACCCATAGCCCTTAGGCAGGAAAGGTTTGGGATCCACCCATTGCCCTCAGGCAGGCAAGGTTTGGGATCACCCATACCACTCAGGCAGGCAATTTCTAGTTACAGCTGGAGGATAGCCTGAGGCGAAAAGGAGGAAGTTGCTTCAGCTCCCTTTGTCTCAACTAGACAGTGGGTGCTTGGCACTGACCCTTGCCAGAGTCTCAAGGTTGACCAGCCTTCCGGACTCCTGGTCCACCTCTTTCTGCTAGGTAAGGCAATGTGCAGCTTCCAACATTCATTAAATGTCGAATAGAAGACTAGTAATGTTTTAAAACAATAGCATCTTTCTTATGAGGAAGCACCTTGCATTCCATTCTCAACTTTATCACTAACACTACATGATCCTGAAAATAATTTCTTTAAAACTTTCTTGAGTGGACTTCCCCATCCTCATCTAGTCATTGGATACATAATTTTCTTCTTTTGAAGGGGAAAATGCAATCAAAAAGTATTGGAAGGCAGTTAGAATAGTGACTGCCTTGTCAGTCTTCACAGGTAAATAAGGTGTGAACCAGGGGCCTCCAGCCTGCTATCAACCAGAGGCAGAGGCAGGGCGGCTCTGTACACAGAGATAACATGCCACCCGCCAAGGCTGTGCACATGCTGGCCAGACAAGCTGACTGGCACTTTAGCAGATCATTTAAACCTCAGTTAAATATGTTTATTTTTATTTAATTTTATTTAAAAAATATATTTTATTGTTTTTTTACAGAGAGGAAGAGAGAGCAACCAAGGTACATGCTCTTGACCGGAATTGAACCTGGGACCTTTCAGTCCACAGGCCGGTGCTCTATCCACTGAGCCAAACCAGTTTCTGCAAATATGTTTCTTTTTAAAGATTTTGCTGCACCTGAGGAAAAGGGTATATATCTTTTGACTTCATTTTTTCAGAGCTAGTAACATCTCCAGAATCTTTTTTTTCCAGGCATTCTGTCCACCTTCTATCTTTCTAACTCACTGCCCTGGTATTACTATTCTTATAAACCCCCCAAATCTCAAAACCTTTGCCATTACCACTTTTCTCCTTACTGAGCATACAATCCATGACCTAGCATTAAAACTAGCCCCTTGCCGAAACAGGTTTGGCTCAGTGGATAGAGCGTCGGTCTGCGGACTGAAAGGTCCCAGGTTCGATTCTGGTCAAGGGCATGTACATTGGTTGCAGGCACATCCCCGGTAGGGGGTGTGCAGGAGGCAGCTGGTTGATGTCTCTCTCTCATCGCTGTTTCTAGCTCTCTATCCTTCTCCCTTCCTCTCTGTAAAAAAAAAAATATATATATATATATATATATATCACAAAAACAAAAACAAAAAAAACAACTAGCCCCTTGCAAAGGCCCTTCATTCTCTCACCATTCTCCTACTCCAACATTCCTTTCTGGCCAAGTCCAGCCTTAGTTAAACCCAACTATGCACTTATTCTGAGCCTACACTCTTACAGCTAATCAATGCCGGAGAAAAGCACTCAGCTATGCTGATTGACACACTTCATATTTGTGATTACAAATTTCATCAATGCCAGGCACTCCTACAGATATTCATATCTATAGTAGCTTTGTTGCTCCTACACTGAGACTGTTTAATGTTTCTTTATTCATGTTTCCAGCATGCTTGTAATCACACTCTCAATTTATGATCACACCTCTTACTTCATTGAGAAAATAAATGCAATTGGACATAAATAACCTCACAAATTCACCAATCTAATACCTGCATCTGCAGCCACACACTCTGCCTTCAATCTCTTACAAGCAAAGAAGCCTCCTGGACCCTATCCCTTCATATGTATTCACAGAATTCTGGCCTCCTGTATCCTTCTTTCCTATCTACACTTAAAAAAGAGAAAGATGTAAATTGACAGTACATTTGTGATGCCCAACAGCCAATCAGGAGTAAGTATGCAAATTAACCCAACAAAGATGATGGGCCAATTTGCATAGACAGGCGCCAAGTGGCCGGGGGTGGGATACAGGCATTCCACACCCACCCAGCTGCTCAGGGCCTCTGGGCAGCATGGGAAGGCGGAAAGGCAGCTCCAGCCAGAGCCAAGGCAATGCTGGCAGCCACGTGAAGGAAGGCCCATTCTTGCATGAATCTTCATGCATTGGGCCTCTAGTAGTTTATTTTATCTCCCATGGTACTAGAGCATTCATAGTAACATAGGTTAACATCATCTATTTTAAAAATTAAAAAAAAAAAACTCTCACTCTTTTGAGATACTTGCCCTCCGAGTTTTTGTACCACTACAGCAAAATTTCTCGAGTTATCCATGCTGATGGTCTCCATTTTTCTCATCACTTATTCTCTTTAACCTACCCCAATGTGGCTTTCCTTGCCTCCACTCATTCAAACAGATCTTAACAAAATCACCAAGAACGTTTTTTTAAAATATATTTTTTATTGAATTCAAAGAGGAAGGTAGAGAGAGAGAAATATCAATGATGAGAGAGAATCATTGATGGCTGCCTTCTGCATGACCCCTACTAGAGATCAAGCCTGCAACCTGGTCATGTGCCCTTGACTAGAATTGAACCTGGGATTCTTCAGTCAGCAGGCTGATGCTCTATCCACTGAGCAAAACTGGCTATGGGCTCACCAAGAACATTTTGACAAATAATTCTGTCAGGGGTTGAATTTTACTCTCCTAAAAGATGGTGAGGTGATGACCTCGCAGCTTAAAATGCTGCCTTCCTTTTAACCTTTCAAAATGAGTCTTTGTTGGGTTACTTCGTTTTTGCCACTTCTCTTTGAACTCAGAGAACCCGGCCTCCTGGGCTGCTTTTCTCGCTTCCCAGGGCAACCCCATCCCCTGCTCCCCAACTCTCTCATTTCCACTCCCTTGGGGTGGTTCAGATTTCTACCCCATTTGCCCAAGAAATTTCCTTTAACTAGGACTCTTGCCAGATTCCAGTTCTGGCTTTGACAAGGACCCCTGGGGCTTGTCCAGCACAGCAGTGACACCTCAACACCACCCAGAAACCCTGTTTACCGCCGAAAATCCCTCAGAAGCTTCACAGATTTCCCAGCATGAAATATGACTCCCACTGGAGAGTTTTGAAAACTTCTGGGTAAGATGCTGGAACAAAGATCACTTCATCTCCCACCGGGGGGCAAGAAGGAGTTAGGCTCTGAGCTTCTCCTCTGCTCTTACGACTGAACTCAGGGGTCCAGTTTCCTCTCTCCCTAGATGAGGTTGGTGAAATAGCACTGGGTGGTGAACTTTTTTTTTTTTTCTTTTTCTTTCTTTCTTTTTTTTTTTTTTCTTTCTTGGCAGTGAACTTCTTAAATGTAGAGGGTTGTCTTAATTTACCTTGTAGCCCTCTGCCTGGAACCTGGCACAGGAGGACCTGTGCACAACTCAAGGCCTGTACGCCTTGCGAATAGAGGCCTGCTAGTGAACTAGGCAGCGCTGGGAAGCACAGCAGATGTCTGGTGACAGAATGAATGAATGGACCATATCTACTTTCCAGGATAGTTG